CTTCCCCCCTTCTCCTGGCAGACAGGGCTCAAGAAAGCGAGACCATCCTACCCTGGTAGGTTATTGGAGGCGATTCACAAGAGCCACCAACCAGATGATGCCGTGACCATCTCTTTCATCTGTGGCTTTAATTTCATTTTTTTTCCCGGCTATTTAGACACAACACAAAATAGATGAGATGATGAAAATCCACAAACATTTGGTTTAGGAGATTGTAGCATCAATGATCCAAAGAGTGCCTCCCGGGTACCAGCCTCTGTTTACTGCACAGCTGGCTGAGAACAGCATAAAACCCTGCTGGAGCCAAACTCAAATTTCAAAACGTCTAATCATTTTCAATAAAACTTCAACAGCACATTTTTCATCATGTAGGGTCTTCTTGCTTTTGTGAATGCTGAAAACTGTGCCCAGCTCATCTCATCACAGATGCACTATCTCTAGCCCTCAAAGACCGAAGTGGCTTCAGTCCTCTCTGACTCAGAGATTCCCTCTTGCTGCTGGGATGTCACCTGGGCAGGAGAATCCACCCACTTCCAGAGTTCCCTGGACCTTCCCTGCTTCTGGGTGGAGGCCTCTGTGCCAGAACCTCTGGAGTTTCTCACACAGGGAAGGATCCGTGCATGGAAATCTGTGTAAGCATTTCACAAATGAAGCTTGAGTGAGCTACTGTCCCCTCTGATTACCAATTTCACCTGATTACCCCCAGATCCCTGAACTCCCTGCAGAGGGGGAGGAGAGATGGAGTCAAAGAGTGCAGGTCTTGTTAGGGTCCCTTTGTTGTCCATCTTTCAGGGCATTCATTCTCTGTCCCTTGCCACCCTCTTTCTGTCCATCTTGTGCCTACCTGAACCTCACACAGCTCCATGCTTAACTTCTTACTTAAACATGACCATGGGACAAAGCAGCTTGTGTTGGAGGGGAGTGTTTCAAGCTTGGGTGGTTCTGTGGCCCAGAGAGCTGGACCTCCTTCTACATTGGTAAAGTGTCAACTTTGCTTCGGCTGAGACTGCTGGGGTCCTCCTGTAGGGCAGCTCACATGCCACAGTGTGCCCTTGCCATGTCCCTTCCTCAAGTGTCTTGCCAACAAGATGTGGCCTAAAAATTGGTGAAAGCATGTTATTTTCTCATTAAATGACATACATTCTCTTCCTCTGGGCCAATCCACCTCCTCCCTGGACAGTGCTGCCCCATCCTGTCTTCCATTTGTCTCTACTTGTAGTGGTGAGTTGGGGGTGGGGAGGGGGCAAGCACAAGGTGGTTTTGAATTTGGGAGCCAGCATTGTCATGTACAGGGGTTCAGGGAAACCCTCAAATTCAGTGAAGAGTGTGAAGATTATTTCAATACAATCCACTCCCCGTGTTTTTCAGAAGATCAGTGTCACCTCTGCCTGCTGCTAGCAGTGAATCCTCTTCACCCAGTGCAAATTGGCAGCTGACCTCCAGTCTGTGAGGCTGGCTTAGAGAATGCGGAGAGGGCTGGGGCAGCTGCAAGAATTATGGGGAGTTTGCTTCATTTTATTTTTTTTACTGAGTCCAGAATGTCAAGTGTCTCCTTGGCAAAGCCATTCAGAGTTGGGCAAGAGAGAGCAGAAGTTAGACTTGGTATAGAAGGAGACATTGTCATTAAGGTTGATTTTGTGACTTTTCTGTAATTGCTTTGAGCCAGAAACAACAACAACAACAAAAAGACCCATCAGGACTAGGAAACCTATCATCCTTCTCTTCCTGGTGTTCGGTACAAAACCTGACATGTACAAGATGTTTATCGGCCACTGCTGAATTAAAAGCTGTTTTTCAGAGTTAAGTGTAGTTTGAGTGTGTTTCAGTGTTTTATGGCTT